ATGTGGTGAGTTTTGAAGCCAGACTGAAAAACCTCCAGGATATTGTGCTCATCCAGAAAACATTTGACCTGTGAATATACAATTTTTTCTAAATTTTTTTTAATAAAAGGCAGCTTGGAGATGGGCCTAAAATTAGCCAAGACAGTTAGCCCTTTTTTCTCCTCCTCTTTCCTTTTCTTCTTCCACTCCATGGTGAGTTCAATTGTTCCCCGTTATTTTAAGACACTTTCATAACTAGGACATTCAGTTCAGTTTTTAGACTAATCAAATAATTAGTCAAACAAGAATGCACTTATGTAAACACAAGTCACCTTCAGAAACACTGAGTCTTTCTACTTTTCCCCTTTTCCTCTCGTTAATTACAAAAGTAATTATTTCCTGCTTGTATATAATCACTCGGATCATCCTTTTACTAAAACAATAATACAAGTCTCTCACTTATATTTTTTATATACATAATACCAACACTGTTGTAAATATTTTGTGAATATTCAAAACTTTTAAGTGCCTGGTTTTTAACCAGGGGCTACATATGTTAGAAGTAAGATTTTGAAATTTATTCTGATTCTATTTATGGAGGCCATGGAGAAGAAAAAAAAATTCATTTGACCTCAAAGAAGTTTTGCATTTCAGAAAAGTCATGCAGGGCCTCCTCAGGGTCCATTTGGGTGATGAACTGTTGAACTGAACTGGTGACATCACTGAACTGTGAAACATACATTTTGTGGCTACCCCTATCTGGTCACCATGTCCACCTTCAAGGAGGCAAATTTTAAGGACCATGGGAAAGGTGAGTCCACCAACCTGGCAGAGGTCCCTGAAGGCAGCCAGAGCGTTCAATTGTGCCAGAAGTGGATGAGATTTGCCCCAGGATGCTGAAGGCTCTGGATGCTGTGGTTAATGTAACCTTTTAAGTTTTTTGGATAAGCACAATATCCTGGAGGTTTTTCAGTCTGGCTTCCAAACTCGCCACAGCACAGAATCAGCTCAAGTCAGAGTTTTTAATGGTATTTTTATGGCCAATGATCCTGGTGAACATGTGGTTCTTGTCTTACTAGACATAACTGCTGCCTTTGATACAGTAGACCACAACATTTTACTATCACGTTTACAGCACCAAGAGGGTATCAGTGGTACTTTACTGAGCTGGTTTAGGTCCTATCTGGCAGACAGAACCATGTCTGTCAGCATAGCTGGTTCTGAAAAGCATGGGATCTTTTTTCACTTTTATGCTGATGGTAATCATATCTATATGCCACTAAAAAAGAAAGATGCCCCCTCAATCAGGCCACTTCTGTTGTGTCTTGAAGACATCATTTTTCATTTAGCCTTTATTTATACAGGTAGTCTCATTGAGCCACAATAACTAATTTTCAGGAGAGACCTGTCACCTGACCTGTGACAACAAAGCCTGGATGTCTTTAAACTTCTTAAATTCCAATGAAAAGAAAACAGAAATGATGGTGTTTGGTCCTAGTGGCTCTTGTGAACCTTGCCCTGTGTATCTGGGTCCTCTGGCACCACATGTAAAGAAAACAGTTTCTAACTTGGGTTTTAAAATGGACAGTGATTTTAAATTATATTCCCAGATTGGAGCGGAGGCTCAGAGGGGACAGAGGTCCAAACGGAGGCTCAGAGGAGACAGAGGTCCAAATGGAGGCTCAGAGAGGACAGAGCTTTTTCTGTAGTCGCTCCAAGACTGTGGAACAATCTCTCTCTTCTCATCAGACGAGCTCCTTCACTGTTCATTTTAAAAACTCTCTTAAAAACACATTTTTACTCCCTGGCTTTTAGCAGACTGAATTTGCTCTGCACTGATTTTATTGTTTTTATTAGGCCCGAGCAGCGAAGCGCTGCAAAGGCCTATTGTAATCGCTCTGTTCAGGCCCAAGCTGCAATTTTTTTCACCAAATGAATTGGCGTTTTGATGGCCTTAAACATGGGTGTGCTATGGGGTCTCCAGTTTCTCCTATTGTTGCCAACCTGTACATGGAGGAAGTAGAAAAGAGAGCCTTGATGTCCTTTTCAGGGACACCACCAAGTCATTGGTTCAGGTATGTTGACGACACCTGGGTTAAAATTAAATCTCGGGAAGTCCAATATTTTACTGACCACATCAACTCTGTGGATAAATACATCAAGTTCACACGAGAAGATGTAAAAAATGGCAGGTTGGCTTTCTTGGACTGTGAGGTCTCAGTCTCTGATAGAGGACTTTTGCAAACCGAGGTGTACCGCAAACCCACCCACACAGACCAGTATTTGCAGTTTGACTCCCATCACCCTTTGGAGCACAAGTTAGGAGTCATCAGGACTCTGTATCACAGAGCAGACAGCATCCCCACTAGCTCAGGAGCCAGGCAGAAGGAGAAATCCCACACAAGACAGGCTCTAGAGCAATGTGGATATCCTAACTGGGCCTTCCTGAAAGCAGAGAAGAAACCCAAACAGGACTCCCATCAGCCATCAGGTGAAAAGGAGGAACCCAGACCCAGACCAGTGGTCATTCCGTATGTTGAGGGAGTATCAGAGAAACTGAGACGTTTATTTTCTAAACATAACGTCCCAGTGGCTTTTAAACCCCAAAATACATTACGGCAAAGACTGGTTCATCCCAAAGATCCAGTCCCCCGGCACAAACAGAGTAATATTGTGTATGCTGTTCAGTGTCAGGAGGGCTGTGATCAGTCTTACATCGGGGAAACAAAACAGCCACTGGCCAAAAGGATGGCCCAGCACAGAAGATCAACATCATCAGGCCAGGACTCTGTGGTCTACACTCATCTCCAGGCCAGCAGTCACTCTTTCAGGGATGAAGATGTTCACATCCTGGACAGAGAGGAACGATGGTTTGAGAGAGGAGTGAAGGAGGCCATCTTTGTGAAAAGAAATCATCCATCATTAAACAGGGGTGGAGGCCTCTGGTTTCAACTGTTCCCCTCTTACAATGCTGTGATTGCTAGTATCACTCAGTCCTCTGTGAATAGTAAACAGCCATCAGTGTGCTAATGATCCATTGTTAGACTGATGGTCCTTCTTGACCATGTGAGCAGCTGGTTTTGGTTGTCAGCAGAAACTGGTTGATCCACTCTGAGAATGTGCTATTTAAGAGACTGAGCTGAATACAGCACCTCAGACTGAGGAAGTCTCTCGGATGAGAGACGAAACGTTTCTACATTTTTTTTGCTTTGTTTTGTTTTTTTGTTTTCTTGTTTTTTGAATGTCCAGAGGACCAGATTGAACTTTTTTGGATTGGTATTGTTCTTTAACATTTGACTCAAGTTCGCCCCCTACATTATTCCAACAGTTATATCTCAGTGATACATCAGCCGATCTGAACCTGAGTTTAGGTGCTTCATCGGTGAACATGTCTAGACACATTGATATTGTTGATTCATAACATCACTTAAGCCCCACCTAGTCAGAGAAAAAACTGTTGATTATTGGATGACACTTCCAGCTTCGCACTGTGTAAGATATCAAGACTGAAACTTTGTTCGCTAACTGTTCATTACCACACGACATGTTGAAAAGCATAAAGGAAGTACTTGTCAAACATTCGCAACAAAACAGGAAGTCACCATAACTCCTGTCTGGAAGGTCAGATTTCGCCTTTTTTTTTTCATTTAGCCTTTATTTATACAGGTAGTCTCATTGAGCCACAAGAACTCATTTTCAAGAGAGACCTGTTTAGGGAGCAGATGGGGGGTTAAGGACCTTGCTCATGGGCCCAGAGTGAATTGCGCCGCTCAAGGTGGCTGCATGTTGGAGCAGCTCTGTTTCTTTCATTCTGAGATTTTGCTTTTGGAAACTTTAATTCCTCTTTTTCTGGATGTAAATCACATTTTTTGATGATTGTTTCCTCTGGTATCAGATGCTGTGCAGCTGAAAGGATTTTTACTGAAACTTTTTTAGTTTTGGACATTTGTTATGATGCGTAACCATGGCAACAAGGCAGTTTTCTACAACCAGCAGCTGATCAACATCTCAAAAGCTCAAATAATATCTCAACTACAGCCCCAAATCTCAAATAAGTTGGAAGGATGTTCTTTGGACGCATTCTCATCTACCTGCCAGCTGTGCTCGAGTGCCTGACCACTGAGATCCTGGAACTAGCAGGAAACACGGCTCACGACAGCGGAAGGACAGAATCGTCCCTCGGCACCTACAGTTGGATGTCCGCAGCGACGAGGAGCTCAGCAGACTGCTGGAAGGAGTGGCCATCGCTCTGGGAGGAGTTCTGCCCGCCATTCAGGCGGTCCTACAGCCTGGGGGAACCGAGAGGCCAGCCGAGTCTGGGTGGACGGATTGGACGGCATCTGCAGCCAGTTTCTTAAGATCCACTGTGGGATGGACCTTTACAAGAGATCCTTCCTGCCTACAGCCATCAGCATCTATAACATCTCTTAATGAAATGAGGATCACAAGTTAAAACAACAAATAATTTCCCTTTGGGATTAATAAAGTATATTGGAATTGAATTGAATTTGAAGAGTGGGGCGAATGAGGGTGGGGGCAAGTGTTGGTGGTTCACATACCCCACCCACATTTTTTATGTTGTCTGTACCGGGGCGTGAACTGGCAATCTTCCGATCACTGGCCCACTTTCTCTAACCTCTGCGCCACCACTCCTTCTTATACTTGTAAGACTTGTAACTGGACAAGTAACGACATGGACAGAAGGTGATGTCAAAGATTCGGGAAATGCGCCCCGTTGTGAATGCTTGCGGGATTGGCACGGGAGTGTTCGCGATAGCGACTGGGTGGACTAGCTGGAACTCCCACGGTCGCCGTACGGCCGGAGCGGCGCTTTGCTCCAAGGGCCTCCAATGCTGCTTGCAGCTTTCATTATTATTATTATTTCAATGTCACACTTAGGACAACACCTGATGAGTGGCACACTGGGGTGGTTGTCTTAATTTTTTTTAAAACACTTGTGTGTTACAGCTTAAATAATGTTGTGTAGTTGTGTGTTACAGCTCAGGTGTTGTGTGTTACAGCTCAGGTGTGGTTTGGGAGCACAAAAAGAAGAATCGCTGGAAGTCGTTCAATCAGAAAAACATCAACCTGCTGGAGAAAACTTACCAGGGTCAGCTGAGTGGGAAGATGGAAGGTGGCTGGGTCATTCTGGAGAACAATCTGGAGGTCAGAGGTCAATGAGGACATTAACAAACTAATTACACACACAGACACACACGGGATCAATGCAGAAAGTCAACCATATCCACATCAGAGCCAAGAGCTGATGCAGTTCTTAGACTATTGAAATGAGTTAAAATGTGTGATATCACTGGTTGCTAGGTGAACTTGAGTGAAGCAGGAATGATGATGCGTCAGCCCTGTTCCTGCCCAATCAGAAGGAACTTCCTGTCTGGGATCCAGGTGGAGTACAAGCAGTCTATGCACCAACGCAGCCTGAGAGCACAGCTGCACTGGCTACAGGTAAACTAGTACACACCTGGACACAAACACCTATACACGAACACCTGACAAAAAACACCTGAACACAAAGTGTTCAGGTGTTTTTTGAGTGAGGAGTGCCATTGCCCCAGGCCCAAGCCTGGGGCAATGGCACTCGACTTGGGAGGTGGCTTTGGTAGTTCTGGGCGTTGACCTCTGCTTGCTGCATGCAGGCTTCTGGGCGGTCTGTACTGGTGGGCGCAGGTTACTGACCTGGTGGCCTGGCTGCTCGTGGGTGGGTTTGGGGTGGGCATGGTTTCAGGAAAGAAAAAAAGACGCAAACACTTGGACACAAACACTTAGACACAAACACCTGGACACAAACACCTGGACACAAACAGCTGGGCACAGACACTTATACACAAACACTTAGACACAAACACTTATAGACACAAACACCTGGACACAAAATATCCTGATGCATGCTCAATAATCCAGGTAGAAAAATCCAAAAAAGTTCAATCTGGTCCTCTGGACATTCAAAAAAAACAAAAAATAAAGCAAAAAAATATAGAAACGTTTCATCTCTCATCCAAGAGACTTCCTCAGTCTGAGGTGCTGTTTTCAGCTCAGTCTCTTAAATAGCACCTTCTCAGAGTGGATCAACCAGTTTGCTGCTGACAACCAAAACCAGCTGATCACATGCTCAAGAAGGACCATCAGCCTAACAATGGATCATTAGCACACTGATGGCTGTTTACTATTCACAGAGGGCTGAGTGATACTAGCAATCACAGCATTGTAAGAGGGGGACAGTTGAACCCGGAGGCCTCCACCCCTGTTTAACCCCCTAAACAGCCACTGGCCAAAAGGATGGCCCAGCACAGAAGATCAACATCATCAGGCCAGGATTCTGCTGTCTACACTCATCTCCAGGCCAGCGGTCACTCTTTCAAGCATGGAGATGTTCACATCCTGGACAGAGAGGAACGATGGTTTGAGAGAGGAGTAAAGGAGGCCATCTTTGTGAAAAGAAATCGTCCATCATTAAACAGGGGTGGAGGCC